AAAGTTGAACGAACAAAGACGAACACTAATTATCAGCCTGAGTGTTGGAAGCCGGCTGCATGTTAAATTGCTTCTCAGTTCTCATTCAGCAAGATACAACATGCAACAATCAAAAAAAGCAAGGTCTCAAAACTTTGATAGTTATGACAAAAGCCATGGAAATCCCAGAAGTATGTGATTTGTAACACTGTATACAAGAATAGACACAAAAAATACCAAGATGTTTATGCCAGATCAACTTCTAACAGCACTGAAGTATTCACCAGTACACAAAAGATACGTCGAACAATGGCTGTGAATAACATTTGACGACATTTCATTCCGAGGAAATTCAAACAGAAAGGAAAAAGATAACACCTCCCAGTAACTTCTTTTCTTCTTTATTCAAAAAGAATCAAAAGATTCATCTTTGAAACATATATTCTTCATTATTCATCTAAAAACAACAACACATCCAACTTCCAGCCTCATTTTTCTACACAGAACTCCTAATATTCTGTCAAAAACGTATCATATACCCAATACTCACACCTAACCCAGCCAAACTTTTCACATCACAGAACTATCCTATCTTTGTCTACTCACAGAAGCATTTACACCTCACTCTACACATACTCACCGAAAAAAAAAAAATGCCTCTATCCCCAAAACCAGTCTACAAATACTTACAGACCATTAACTATTCCTAGTATAGCAGCTGCATGTCATCCTCAGGCGTCATCATCATCATTTTCATCGGATTTTCATAAAAATCATACTCATTCACAAAACCACAGCTTACCCGCTCAGGAGCAAGCGAACTACAGCACGAATCACACACAAACAGTTTAGGCACAGCCTCCGAATCCTCAATACCACTGCACAAAGTATGCTGCCAAGCCTCACAAATATCACACGACACCATCCTTTCCCCATCATCATCCCTGGCCCCACACCTACACCTCACAGTCCAGCTCTCTGACCCCCCTTCATACCTGTGCCCGCTTTCCCCTATCTCAAGCCCGTATCCCCTGGCCCAAATCTCCCGGCCCGACTCAACCAGCCCAAAAAGCACCTCCTCATCCTCCACCCCTTCAGTCTCCAAGATCTCTGTCACTACTAATCCCTCCGTAACACAGTACGTGTCTCGCATGGCATTCTGCACGGCTAATTTTAGTTCGCCAAGTGTCGCGTGGAGTGGGACGATCACGAGCTCGCGCGGAGGGTAGTCTCGGGAAATGTCGTCCATTAGATCAAACGAGCTCGTGGTTAGCCTGCAGATGAATCTCAGCGTTTGGTCGTCCTCATCCCTGAAAGGCCACTCCTTTACAAAGTGCTTGCTGTGGAGAATCATTTGGGCCGCGAATTTCGCTGGCCCGGGATTTGGGTAGTCAAGGAGCACGTTTTTGTACAAAATGTTGAGGTCATCGTATACACTTCTTTCGGCAGTTAACACGATTGGCTGAACCGGATTCGGAGTTTTTAGTGTGGAAAAATTTTTCTCATCCTTGTGATGATCGTGAATGGTGTACTCGAGGATCTTAGTGCTTTTGTTCACTGCCCGGCGAACGACATAATTCCCGACGATAACGTTGTTCATCGCTTTTAGAACGTGGTCGATTAAGCCCGTATCGCCAATTTCCACGCGGGCCGCATCCCGGGCCTCTTGTCTGGTCATACCACAGCTGCGGGCCTGATTCTTGGCCCGTTTTTCTCTCAAGGCCTCGACTATGACTTCTGCTACATGCTGGAGTCTTCTAACGGGCCACCGGGAGTCCATATTGGCAGCAAGATTAGAAAACTTTCTGCACTTTGCAAGTTTTTTCTCTTTGTTGGGCGGGGGCCTGGTTCTGAGAGCGAGTCTGCAGGAAGTTTTCAACAAGCATTGCTTCTCGTCTGGTTTCATGAAGGGAGCCACCGAGAACCTTCCGGAAGGAGGTTTGGTTTTCAGGGTCAGCATAAATCGGAATAAGTCTCGGATAGTGAGGAGATTAGTTTCGCTCATGCCTCGGTAGTGATGGATCATTTGTTTGATGGGTGTGCTTTCACTGGTGAAACTGAAATCATGCATGACTTGTTCAAGGCTGAGGGAACTAAAAACATCCATAGCCGATTCGTAGTTATGTTCCTTCACCCCGAAGCTGCCACGGGAGAATTTGTAGTCCCATTTCCCGAACCAAGAGTGCCCGTAAGCAACTCCGTGTAGCAAGCGGAGGTCCATCTTATGCTTTCTAGATAAATCTTCCACTGAAATTTGCCTACAGTAAATGGAACAAATACTCAAGGATCACTTCTTTTGTAATTTTTCAGTGACAAGGACCAAATTAAGCTTCATCAGCAAAGTATACCTTCAAAGATCTAAGAAGAAATTTGGATGGTAGAGAATATAATTCTCTTGACTAGATACTGCTAATAATCATTTATGAAAGAGGATGATATCTTACACTTCAACTTATAATACAGAAATCAGTGAGAAATACTGCTCAATTGAGTTGTGATATCAGATTACCAGATTCCCAATTTGAACAAATAACCTTAGTACATGAGAATTTCCAGAGACATGAAATTAGTTTCAGACTATGTCCATATATTTCCATAAACTGATACCTCTTTGAATACATTATGCAGTATCAAATGAGTGTGCAGTCACACATCAGATAAGATTCGACAAGAAATACAAAAATCGACCACCTCACAGCATTTGTCACTTAATTTGATAGAAATTAATAACAAACTGAACTTGAAAGGTTCTCAAAATGTTCTATACACAGCTCGGGCATCAAATTCACATCATCATACATAATCATCAAAGAAAATGAAAGAGACATAATTCCATTTTCTCTTCTTTATCTCATACCGCACTTGAAGAGTCGTGCAGATACGGTCCCACAGATCCATGATTTCTCCACCGCAAATGTACTTGGAACCCCCCTCAACTCCATTGATGCAGATCAGATGCCCATAGCCATTGCAGTGAATCAAACCATGCAAGAGATGTGTCTGTTGATCAAAAGAACCCTCATCAAGTGGATTATTGCACTCTTCATTACATGGGATTATCAAGCGATACTTCCTACTCGACACAAAATGATGGCTCCATCCTGCACCCATCAAAACACACGCACAAAATCAGAACACACACACACACACACAGAGTAAACGCACGGCCGCACACAGAAAATAGTCCAAATCACCAAAAACCTAAATAGAAAGAAACAGACTACATACAAAACATGCGATTCCAAACCCCACCAAAAACCCTGTTCAAATTAAAGCAGCAAAAAAAAGGGCAAAAAAAGAAATGGGTTCTCCATTTTTGGTTTTAATTTCTCATACGAACCCGAGCTACGGCAGTACTCGCAAAAGGGTTTATCAGAATGCTTCACATTTTCTTCAACTGTGTAAAGGGGAAGAACGGTTCCTTTGCTCTCGTACACCAGAAACGTGCACCAAACCGCCATGCCGTCCACGCTGTAGTCCTCCGGCTCGGCGCATTGTAGCAGAAACTGCCGGACGTTGTCCCGAAACGCGCCGTCGAGAGAGACGGGGACGCCGGCCTCGGCAAAGCTGTGAAACCCGTAAAACTTCGACATTTTCTTGTTCCTCTTCGAGTGAGATTCAGGGTTTGGACCTACCATTTTCTGGAAACGGTTTTTCTGGGAGAATTTTTTTCCTTTTCGATTCAAGATTTCATTTGGTGCATGGTGAGGAGCAGAGAAGGGTTGAGGGTTTAACGGTTAACGAGTTGGAGTTAGGTGAAACAGAGTTTTATTGTTCAATTTTTCTGTTTAATTAACTGAATTTACGTTTGGTTTGGGCTCTTGTGGAGTTGTGGGTTGAGGGAGGGGTTAACTGTTAACACTGACGGGGTTAGTATTGACGGGGTTTGTTTGAGGCCATTTAAAAAATAATGAAAATTGAAAAGTAATGTGGCCAACGTGATAAATTTTGAAAAAAAAAAAAAAAAATTGGAAGATGGAGGGGCCAACTGCAAATAGTTAAAGCAGCACAAGCTGCAGCCTGCAGATGAAAAAATTTGTTATTACTTTGTAAACAAACCGTAATTGAGGTCATAATTTTCTATAGCGCAAATTTGAAAATGCTGTATATTGAGAGCTTGTGAAGGTCACACTGTGTCATTACACTTAGATTAATGTTGGTTTACATTCTTAAGATAGATAATTGAAAAGGCAATATGTTTCAACTTGATATCTTCTTTGGGCTCTTTGAAAGTTCATCACCATTAAACTACATAAAAACGTCAAAATTTATTCGGCAGATCCAGAAATTTTCATGAACTAGGGCAAAAAATAGTTGAAGAAAATTTTTAACCATATTGCACAAAGTATTTATATTAATAATTAAATAAATTGTTGAAGTAATCGGGTCTTGATGAGTTTCCTATTCAATATGTAATAATGTTCAGGCTTGATACATTGAGAGAGAGAGATGAACGAGAGAAAAGGAGAGCAGTAAAAGAAAATTAGAGTTTGTGTATTATGCCAAAGTGATGAAGTCTGAGTACAAGGGACCCTTATATACTTGGGTCATTAATGAAAGTATTACAAAGAATGTTACTGCTAATATAAAAAGGTAATAAAGCTGTTTGTACATAAAGTTAAACATGTTGTACATATTCTATTACCCCCCTCAAGATGAACATGAATGTTTTCAAGTTCATCTTGGAAGAAAGGGCTGAAAACAGAGGATAACAAAAAGGTTTGGTGAAGATGTCTGCAATCTGATCCTTTGAGGGTATGTGAGCAACTGAGATGGTGCCTTTGTTGATCTTTTCCCTTATGAAATGACAATCTAGCTCTATGTGTTTTGTTCTTTCATGGAAAACAGGGTTAGTGGCAATTGAAAGTGCAGCTTTACTATCTGAAAAGATGCAAACTGGAGAGTTATGAGAAATCTGCAATTCATTAAGTAAATACAAAAGCCACTGAACCTGACAAGTAGTATAAGCTAAAGCCCTATATTCAGCCTCTGAGGACTTGCTAATTGTTAGTTGCTTTTTAGATTTCCAAGAAATTAAGGAGTTTCCCAAAAAAATAGCATAACCAGACACACTTCTCCTTGTATCTATGCAACCAGCCCAATCTGAGTCACTAGAACCAGTGAGTAATAAAGAAGAAGATCTAGGGTAAAAATTACCTTGCCCCACTGTGTGTTTTAAATACCTGAGAATCCTGTGAGCTGCAGGCCTATGCTGTTGAGTAGGTTTGACCAAGAACTGGCTAAGACTTTGGACACTAAAAGAAATGCCAGGTCTAGTAATTGTTAAGTAAAGTAATCTACTTATTAATCTCTTGTATACTGTAGGATCAACAGGTTGGTCAGAATCATCATTGCCAGTTAATTTAGTGTTAGCATCCATGGGTGTGGATGCTGGTTTACTGCCCATATAACCAGAATCACTCAGTATGTCAAGGGCATATATCCTTTGACATATGTTTATACCTGCAGATGAGTGAGCAATTTCTAGACCCAAGATATATTTCAGTTGGCCCAAGTCCTTTATAGTAAAGCAGTTATCCAAGTGAGTTTTGATAGCTTGGATTTCAGAAAGATCATTGTCGGCAAGTATGATATCATCCACATAACATAAAAGAGCAAGAAAAGAGGAGGATGATCTTTTGATGAACAGAGAGCAGTCAGAAACAGATTGAGAAAAGCCATAAGAAATTAAACATTGAGTAAGTTTGTGGAACAATTGTCTTGAGGCTTGTTTTAAGCCATAAAGACTTTTGGCCAGCCTACAAACTCTCTTATCATTAGTATTGCAATAGCCAGGGGGAGGGGTCATGTAAACCTCTTCATCTAGATCTCCATGTAAAAATGCATTATTGACATCTAACTGATGTAAATGCCAATTATGAATAGATGCTAATGCAATAATGAGTCTGACTGTGGTAATTTTAGCAACAAGACTAAATGTGTCAAAATAATCTATGCCCTCCTTCTGAGTATATCCTTTTGCCACTAATCTGGCTTTATATCTTTCTATTGAACCATCAGCTTTGTATTTGATTTTGAAAACCCGTTTGCAGCCTATGGGATGTTTATCAAGATGAAGGTCTGTAAGATACCAAGTTTTTTTTCTTTCTAATGCAGAAATTTCTTTCTTCATTACCTCTTGCCATAAAGGATTTGTAGATGCTTGTTTATATGTTTTTGGCTAAATGTTGGCAGTGATAGATGTTGTAAAACATGAATGTTCAAAAGAAAGATTATCTGTGCTCAAATGATTTTCAATAGGATATAAATTTGATGTTCTAGAAGTGTTGAGAGACTGTATGGAAATGGCTGAGTTAGAAGAAGGAGGAAGGTGATGTTTGTAGGCATTTAAATAGGATGGAGTTGTCTTTGTTCTTGTTGATCTTCTGAGAGGGTGAGGCTGAGAGGTGGGTATCTATGTGTTATGTTGGATGGGTGAAGCTTGTTGAGGAATCTGAGCATGTGAGGGAAGGTTTGGTGATGGTTGTTGGGAATTGATTGTTTGTGGACTGGGTGATGGTTGATGGTGAGAATTAGGTAGTGTTGTAAGAGGTTGTTGAGGAATATGAGATTGTGTATTTGAATCATGGGAAAAGGGAGATGGTTGAGGGAACTGAGGTATGTGAATGTTATCAGATGTGGATGTTTTGAAAGGGAATACAATCTCATAGAACACAACATTTCTAGAAATTACTGTTTTCTTGGTTATCTAAGTCATAAAGTTTATAACCTTTATAACTCAAGGGATATCCAAGAAATATGCATTTGGATGCTCTATGCTCAAATTTAGTTCTATCAGATTGCAAAGTGGATGCATAGCAAAGACACTCTATAGTTCTAAGATGCATAACAGAAGCAGTAGTGTTATAAAGAATTTGATATGGAGATCTGTTATGAAGAACTTTAGTAGGAATTCTATTGATAACATGAACAACAGCTAAAACACAATCCATCCAAAAATGTAATGGCAAG